TGTAAGGCAGTTTCCTCCAAAACAGAGGATGGTAAGGGTAAATAAGTAAAAGACTAAAGTTTCTAACATTTGCATTATTCAGTGTTCTATATCCTATCACACAGGTTTGTCTATTTACAATTGATCCTTGGTCCGAAGTCTGTGCCTCCAGGCTCATATTCAGGGTTTGGCAGAGATTGGATCAGTTCTAGCATACGTCCTTATAGCTTGGTGGTCTGTGATATCCATGGCTCGACATACCCATGCAGGCACAACACATCATAATAGTGGTGTGAAATGTGTGAAAATAGTGTGAAATTTATGTGATGAAATACACGCAAATTCACATCACAGTCACAGTCAGAACTTGTAAAAATACTATAGTGTAAAATTTGTATGACGAAGTATGCATAAATTCACATCACAGTCAATAGTCCAAACTTAATGTATTGTCATTTTATGGTCTTAAGAGCCCTTTTCGGGACACCAGGTCATAGTTAGCAAAACCAAGACGTTTGACAATCCTTTAATTGATAAAATTAATTGATAATGATTGTAGAAAGTCAATGCTCCCTACTTCTACTTTGACCACCTAAACTACCAACTACGATTAGCAAGATGTGGGATTGTGTGTTGTGCCATGCTAATATACCAAACACATATTAATCAGCACAAAGTACAATAACATATACTGTAATAGCAAGTTTTAATACTTTCACCCAGCATATTTATATCACACTTTGATGATTTATTCACTAATCTAAGTGTGTTAAATATTAAATGATCTCAAAGAGTTTTACTATAGAGTAAGCACACCTAGTGAAATCTACCATAAATTAAGATAAATACATTTGGAACCATTATTACACTCATGTTGCCAGGCATGAACTCACTAACTCATGTTAAAATGAGTTTCATATTTTAACAGTAAGATAGGAACACTAACTACAATATTCAGTGATTGGTTCTGGTTATTTGTAACTATTGTTTCTATATTAGATGAATTACTGCAATATACTAGTTCAACCTGACTGACCCCTCTCTATGAATTCCCTAATGACCATATTACCTCTGATGATGTTACTCTTGCTTTCTTGATATTTCTACCATAGAACTTTCACATTCTGATTCATCATTAGGCCTCTATGAAAATACCCACCTCTATATTTACACCCTCAAGTATACAGCACAATATCAACTTCCTTTGTTACTGAATTCTGTAATTTAGCATGGTCTCATTGTTTTTACGTATATGAAATACAGAAATTATGTTCATACAGTAATATAGACCTATATGTAAAATAAACAACAAAATGGCTTATTTTATAATTTATATGTTTTTGAAAATGAGTAAAGAACAACAGAGCTTGTAAGGTACAATACCAATGAGGGATGACAATGCATTACGTTGTATTGGTTTTCCAGGTTATTGTTTAACAAGAAACTCCTTCTCACATCAATTACTCAACAAATAAAATCTTTTTCCATCACTATCGATGGTCATCGTTTTATCACTTTAACTAAATCAGTATATCTCAACATAAATAGCATCCCCATTATGATTAATTACTGTAAACACAATGAATATCTAAGAAAATACCCAAAACAATCCCAATAATTATAGCAAATTTCATTGTGCACTAAAATGTGATTGTTTGTAGCTACCCTTCACAATCACTTTCTCTTCTTTGCATAAAGTAGTTTTCATCTTTATTTTGTCTTTTCATTGAAGAGTACATTCACTACAAGAGTCTTATGTATACAAACAATTTATGTACGATTTTCCAAGTAAAGGTTGTTCCAGCCGGAAAGTATAAAACACAGTCGGGGCCTTTAGAGTTTGCATTTTCATCTATTTTTTTATTACAGTCTGAGGCTCTAACTAAATATCCAATTTTGATTGTAGAAAGTCAATGCTCCCTACTTCTACTTTGACCACTTAAACTACTAACTACGATTAGCAAGGTGTGGGATTGTGTGTTGTGCCAAACACATATTAATCCACACAAAGTACAATAACACATAATAATACTGTTCAGTGGATCTCTGCTGATACTAGTGATAGGGGTTGAGCTCATCACAACCCAAACTTTCAATCAAAGAGGCATCGCATCCGACATTAACTTTAAGTCCTAAACTGAATATTATATTTTGCTTATGTTTAGAGGCAAAGTGGATACCATCTAGCATGCCTTACTAATTTTAGGAATGAGCTGGTCACAACTAAAAAGAGAAACCAGTCTTTGCACCACACATAAACTGTACACAATTCACCACTTGGGACGAGAAGCAAGCCTGCAATTATACTGTGGAGCAGGACTGAGTTTAAATAATGATTCCAAGTTCTCACATAAGGTAAAATATAATTTCGGCACGAAATATTTGCCTGATTCCTCGGTAATACATGTTTCAAGACGCTAAAATAGTTGAGTAAAAAACCTTTTTTTCTTCAATTTTCAAAAATATTTAGTCCAAACTAGGAAAACTCCAATATTTTACCAGAGGTCCCAAGACTACATGTTTCTTGCCGTTTAAGGCGATTCCAGCAACACGTTATATTTATAAATATTTCAAACCAACTGGTGCAAATCTCACATGATACAAAGATTAATGGGGATTGGAAATATTTTTGGAGATGGACATTTGGATAGAAATGTATAGAGAGTAAGGACGATTTTTAAAAAGTAGCTTAAAATCTCCCCATGTTATTCTCATAGGTAAAACACCAAAAACACCTCTTTGTCCTATTCTATCTATTGGCTTGAGATACAGTAAATAAACATTTAGGCACACTACATTGGTTTCAACTTTTGATAAAAAACAATAATACAACATAAAAATCAAATACTATTTTAACATTATTTTAAATGAGTACAAATAAATCAAACCGTTTTCATTTGTATGCCAATGCATTGTAATATAATATCAGCATTAGTAAATAAAGGTCTGCTTTATTGTTTAAAAATATTTATATCTCAAAAAGGCTTGATATACAACAAAACGGCTAAAATTCCAGCCTACATACTACATGGCCTTCTACATAATAATACAGCATAAAAAAGTTTAAAAATTTAAAGCCATTTACCAGTTTCTTTTGTATGTAAATGTGTTATAATATAATTTCAACAATAGCAATAGTTTCAAACTCTAGGTATTACCAGCACGGCACTGTCGGGGGCATGACGATGTTCAAAGTGATGCGCCTCCTATCACTTACATGTTTGTCTAGCTTCTAAAAAAAATATTTATAGCATAAAATTTATATATTAAAATTCTACATAAACTACTGTTTAATACAATATAAATATAATTTAATTTATGCCACTGTATAATTATTAATTAAGGAAAATATAAAAAGGTTACTCAAAGCAAACATGAAAAAGTAAGTAAGCGAGGATTTTTTTTATTTTTCGGTCAGAGAAAAACTTTCAGTGGAAGAAGTAAAGATGATTAGATGTTCCTCAATTTTTGTTTCTAACATTTTTTCATAAGACTTTTAGTTTGTCATCGCTGGGGATCAGAAGTAACCTATGGGTCGGGAGCGCGTCCGAGTTCACGTGCCGAGAGCTGGGTTTTTAAAAAAAGTGGTCAAAAAAAGCTCTTCATTTCCAGGCTTGTTTTTTCAGTATTAATAACATTTTTTAACCAAAAAATGCCCCCATATAGCCTCTAAAACGCCAAAAATAGGGTAAAACCATCATATTTTACCTATTTTGGGTGTTTTTTCGCCAAAAAATTTCAAAAGTCCTGGGTCCAAAAACGCCGAAAGTGGGGTCATATTCTGGGTTTACCACTACTCGGCCCAACGAAGGCAACATTGAGCAAACCAAACAGGAAGGTATTATAATGCAACTTTTATATTGCACAACACTTGTAAACAGCACTTATCACACTCCTGGACAACACACCTATCAGCTAGGATGTCACATGTCACGGACGACACTAAGTGCAGGTGTCACGGCACGGAAATAGGCCGCGTCACGGCGAATTACCGTCACAAAATAACTATAATTTCTACACGAGTGTCGTCCCGGACATTAGACACGGACAATTTGTCGGCGGTAATTAAAAGCAAACAGGGGACGCGCCTTGACACAT